GTGTGCTTGTTTCTCTAGGTGCCGATTTACGTGGAAAGGGTGAGAGAGTGGATTTGCTAAGAAAGTTGTATTTTCGAGAAGCAAATTCTGCTGATTCTAATAAAAAAATGTTTGATCACTTTCTCTTTGTATAAGGAAAGATTTGTAGAGAAAGTGAAAATATTAAATTAAATTGATTAAAATAATTATTATATTTTAATTATTTTAAAAATTTTAACATTTTAAATTAAAATAATAAATAATTAAATAATATATTAAAAATAAATATTTTTATTTTAGTTTTATTTGTATTTTTTAATTCTTTTATATTTTCTTTAAGTAATATTTTGTAATTCAGTTTATTAATATATAATAATTATTATTATAATAATAAATATATAAATAATATTAATTATATTAGTAATGATATTAATAATTATTTTAATATATAATAAAAAATATAATTATAATTATAAAATAATTATTTTAAAAATAATAATTATTTTTATCTTAATAATTTAAATAAAAATAATTTTAATTACATAAGTAATTTTGTAATATTTTAATTTAGTCATTTTCTAATTTTTTTTCATTAAAATATTTTTTTTATCATTTACATCATTCATAAACTCTCATAATTTTTTTCTTTTTTCTCTATATTTCTTATTATCTTTCTCTTAATCCAAACAACTTTTCACCTCTCTTTCTCTTTAAATCTATTATTTTCTATTATCTCAAATTCATTTTCTAATCCAAACACAAGCTAAATGATGTAAAAAGGACACAAACGTAAATTAATATTAAAAATAAATGTTGAAATAAAATCAGGATAAATCAATACTTTACTATATTAAATTTTATTAATTTTGTGGTTATTATTAATTTAGAGTCGGTATAAAACTGTCTCTAATTGAGTTTATGTTTTAGTTTCCACATTTTTTTTCCAATTAATTCTTATATTTTTATTGTGGATAAAGATACATAGTTTTATTAATCATAAAATACAATAAAATTATATTTTTATTTTATATTAAGGGTTTACGTATGATTTTAAAATAATTTTGAAAAATATTTACATAATTTTTTTTAAATATCTAATCAATAATTTTAAAACATAATAATAATCTATAAAATTATAATAGAAAATGATTTGTATTCTAGTATGTTAATGAAATCACGTATTATTTGAAACTAATGATAATTTATATATCTCTTCTTTTAATTCAAGATATTTTTTAAGAACAAAATAACTCCAAATCATATAACACCTCGAATATAATATTTTTTAAACTAACCGTTTGTATTAATTCCATCAGAATATAAGTCTCTTCAATAATAACATCCACAATAATTAAATATCAGTATAAAGTACAATCAAGAATTTACTATGTAAAATGTGTTTCCACCTTATAAAGTTTTAAATATATTAACATTAAGAGTGTTTCTAACTGGTTCCGATTGATTTTTTATTATGTAACGATGCAAACCCAAATTTAAAAATCAAATAAAGTTTGATTTAGATCCATTTTTATGATTTTTATTATTGTAGATTTGTTACTAGGTTTTATATAAGAATTATAAAATATTCTGACAAAAAACTTGTTAAATATTTTATAATGAAAAATTATCATATAAAATAATATATTATTAAAAAAATTATATAATTATTATTACATTCATAATTTTAATTTTCCTTATAATTATATTATATAATCATAGAACGAAAAATTATAATCTAAAATTTCATTTTTTTAATAAATATAAATATATTATGAACAAAATATAATTAGATTATAAAACAACTTTCAATATATATAATAATACATATTTATTAGTTAATAATTAAATTTACATATATAATATTATATTGTATATAATAAACAATTTTATTCAGTTTGTTCTGTTTTTATGCTGAATGAAACTATTGTTTAGGAAAAATTGGATCAAAATTTTGGTTTTATCAGTTTTAAGTAATTTATGGGTTTGCTAAATTCTTTTTATCAATTATTGGTTTTAAACATTCTTATTAAATATATCTAAAAATAATTTTCATTTATGATGTGTAGCTCTAAAATCTAAATATGTTTTTATTTTTTATCAGTATATAAATGAAAATCTGATCTGATTTTAATTGAATATATAATTAAAATTATGTTTAATATTATTTAGAAGTACTTATAAAATATGTTGAATTTTAATGACATAATAAATTTTAATTAAAATTTATAAAAGATAAATTAAAAATTTTAGTGTTTATTTGATTTATTTTAATTGTTTAATTTTTAAAAATAGTTTTAGAGATGAATTTAAAAAGTCTGTTTTTAAAAATAAGTTAAAAAAGCTTTAATAATTTTATTTTTGAAAACTCTTTTAAATGAAAAAGTATAACATAAATTACTATAAAAAGTTATAGTAAAATTAAAAAATAATTTTGATAGTTTTATAATAATAATAGTAAATAAAATAAATAAATAAAATTATCAAGTAAAGTATTGATATCATTAAAAAAATCTTTTACTAATTTTTAAAAAGCTAAAATCAAAACTAATTTTAAAAATTATTATAACAGAGCAATTAAAAGAAACTAAAACCTGCTTTCAAAAAATAAAATAAACAATATAACATGTAATATATATGCCATCTTAATGTTTTAAGAATCGCACCAAAATATATATCACTAATTATTTCATTTTGAATATAATTATTTCTTCATTAATATATTAATATATCATATAATATACAATTAATTATACAACGCAACTATTTGATGTAATTAACATAGCTAGTAATAACATTTTTCTACGTTTTTAAACGTGTATTATAATTTCATATGAATATTTTCGTATTTTTAAAATTTTAGAACTTCAATGTTTTTAATTTTAATTATTAATTGTAATTTTTATTTATTTTTTAACAAACTGTAACAAATAAAACAATTAAGTTATTACTAAGTAAATTTGTATTTTTTGGTATATGTAAAAGGAAAGAATTACATTATATTTTTTCAGAAAATTAAGAAGCAAATTAAATCATATTATCATAAATAAATACACATAATTGCATATTAATATATATTCATAAATTAAAAAGTTTGATTTTCTTCGTCATAAGAATAATATTCTATAATTTTTTAAATTGTTATAGATGAGATTCTATAATTATCATTCTAATATACTTTAAATATAATATTTTAATAGTTTTTTTATTATTTACTAATATATATTTATGTTTTTATTAAAGAAATTCAAATTTCTGTTACATATAAAATATAGAGACGAACAATTTTTAAATACAAAGAGCAAATATAACCATTTAGAAATATAGAGATCAAATTGAACTTCATAAATAAATCATACAAAAAAATATAACCGTAAAATTATTAATAAAAGGTTAAAATTATCAAGATATATATAAAAAAATTATTTGAATAAAAAGTGAAATAGTGGGGAATAAATTAAGAAGGAAAGAATTAGGAACAATAGAAAGAAGGAAGAAAGAAGTGAAAAAAAAACTCTCTACTCAGTTGGATGTATAAAAATGACAGCAGAAATAATTAAATAAATTATTTAAAAATATTACTAATAAAAATTTGATTTGTGTGCCATTAAACAGATTATTATATTTTAAATACAATTCTAAAAATATGTATTCTTAATAGAATAAAATATAAAACTTTAAAATTTTAATATATTACTTGTTTATGTTAACAAAATATATTATTTTAAAAAAAGTGATTAAACATTTGCAAGGAGGAGAAACAAAATTATTTTGTATTCTCTCTTTTATTTTCATGATAACCAAATTAGAGAAAGTTACTAATAGGGATAATAAAACAGGTTAGCTCGTCCGTTTTGATCTATCCCACTTTTTACCCTAAAAAGTAGGATGGACCATGTAGCCCATTATAGTCATGACTGACAGCCTATAAAGAGCGGGTTGATGACTACAGTTGACGCCATAATTAAAAAGAATTATTTTTAAAATCAAAATTTTCAATAAATTTAATAATAAGATTATTATTTATTTGTTAATAATTATATATATATATATATATATATATATATTATTATTATTATTATATCAATTTTATTATTGTTCTAAATTATAATTTCTTAAAACAATAATTTTATGATTTATATTATTAAATTGAAATTATAATTTAGAATAATAATAAAATTTACATAATAATAAATAATAATATATATATATATATATATATATATATATATATAACATTACAACTTATCAATTTTATATTTTTTATATTGAAAAATTTAAATACCTATATCTTTTTTATTTGATAAAACTTCACATTATTTTCGCTTGAGTAATTCTTACACCTTTAATTTAAGTTATAAGGATAAAAATAATTAGTGTTTAGGATGAACAAGGAGAACAAAAGAGAGAAGGTTATATTTCAATAAGGAAAATATTTGATTTGAGAGTGAAACTTTTTTAATTTTTTTTTTTAATTTTTAATTTTATATATTATCTTTATAATTAACTTTATTACAATAAAAAATTTTTTAATTAAGCGAGTCGCATGCTGTCCTATCCTGCGGAATGGTTCGACGGACATGATAAACTGAAAACACCATATCGCTCCACCATATTATCTGGTTAACTTCTTTTGCCATCATTAGTTACTAATTGCATCCTCTTACTCTTCGTCTCAATTTTTCGCTTCCTAAACTAACCTAAACAATACAGGGTAAGAGAAAAAAAGTGCAGCAGTGGGAAGAGGAAAATTCTGAAGATGGTGGGATTGTGGAGAGTAAAAAAGGGTGCTAATAAACTTGTTTTGGACTTTATGTTTGAGTTGTTGTAAGGGCCGACAAAATTGGGCTCGACCCAATTTGTGAATTTCGCTGAAGCTCAACTATTAGGTGGCACGAGGAATTAGGGTTTGCACATTTAAAAAGACGAAACAAAACCAAACAGAAGATCCAGTCGCAGTGTGCGAGAGAGCAGAGCACAGCAGCGGAGAAGGGAAAACGGCACCGCTGTAGGAGACAAAAGCCATGGTTCACGTTTCATTTTACAGGAATTGTGAGGAGATCGTTCTCTACTTCGCGATGCCCTTTTATCAGGTTCAACTGTAACAACTCCATTGATCTCTTTTGTTTTGTTTGACAGATGGAAAGACGTTCAAGAAACCACGTCGTCCGTACGAGAAGGAGCGTTTGGACGCGGAGCTGAAGCTGGTAGGGGAGTACGGGCTGAGGTGTAAGCGGGAGTTGTGGAGGGTGCAGTACGCTCTCAGCCGCATCCGCAACAACGCCCGTAACCTCCTCACCCTTGACGAGAAGAACCCGCGCCGGATCTTTGAGGGTGAGGCTCTCCTCCGCCGTATGTTTCGCTACGGGCTCCTCGACGAGACCCAGAACAAGCTGGATTATGTCCTCGCACTCACTGTTGAGAACTTCCTCGAGCGCCGCCTCCAGACCCTCGTCTTCAAGTCTGGCATGGCCAAGTCCATCCACCATGCTAGGGTTCTTATCAAGCAGAGACACATCAGGTTATTTCATATCTCCAAATCCCCTCTTCTTTTTATTATCAATTGTGTTTCTCATTAATGCCATTGTTGATTATCAGAAAATGTACAGTGAAACTTCATGTGTCTGGGACCAGTAAGGATGTCTTTTTATTGAATTAAGGATTTGTTTTGGAGTTAGTTTTTTTGATTTTATGCTATTTGTGGTGAAGCTGAAGCCCTGTTTGTTTATTTAGGTAGTTGTTTCTGTGAGTAATATAATTAAGGGTTTGCTGAGATACAAAGGGATCTGCTTATACACATTTTGGAGAAGAAAACTGCAATGATCTTATTTATAAATCTAAAATACCTTATGGGATTTTTATACCGTTTTACCTTTTTTGTTTTCTAACTTGTAAAGAGTTTATATAGAGGCTTGAGTGGCTTATGAATAAGTTCCTATTATGTAACTGTTTGTGGGTTACATTTGGATGCATATTGTAGAATGAGGAAGTGAAGCAAAATGAATTTAACAGATTATTTAAATTAAAATTAACTTGTTTAACTCAGCTTTTAGAAAAGTTAGTTAAAAAGTTTTCTCTAATATTTGAAGGGCGCATATGTTTTAACTTGCTGCAACAGATCAATTCATTGTACCTTATTATTTTCTTCTACAAGTGGTTATGAAGTAATGTATATGCACATGGGGCCATAAGATGTTTTTTGTACAGAGCTAGTGGAAATAATCTTAAATCAACTTGTGAATATACTGTGAGTTGTTTTCGTAAGTTCTCTCTCAAATACTTGTATCAAGTGTTACAAAATCCTCTCGGTTTTGCAAGAACTGTATGTTGATGTATCAGCTCTCCAGATGAAATCCAATTTTGTTTGATGTATCCATAATACATGTATTGTTTGGAGAATGACCTTTTTATTGTGTCATTTGGGATGTACAGGGTTGGTAGGCAAGTGGTTAACATCCCATCTTTCTTGGTGAGGGTTGACTCACAGAAACACATTGACTTCTCACTTACAAGTCCCCTTGGTGGTGGACGCCCTGGAAGAGTGAAGAGAAAGAACCAAAGGGCTGCTGCTAAGAAGGCCGCAGGTGGAGATGGAGATGAGGAAGATGAGGATTAGACTATTAATTATGTCTTTCTCTAGTGCTATTAGACTTTGTTCCACCATTTACTTTGCGTACCTAGTTTATCGTTTTTGATTGTTACACATTTTCACCCTTGGTTCCTTTTGAGAAAATATTTTGCGTGACATATTATGTTCTTTTGAACTTATATTTTAAAGTATTATGATTTTATTTAAATAATTTTGTTGTTCATTGATGCTTTTTGTCTTCAACTTAATTTCACCTGGTTTAAAAATTTAGTAAATAGGAATCAGAAGGTTTGTGGGGCTTAAGTTTATATAACTTTTTAACATTCACATTGTTTTTGGAGATATAGAGCAGGAGTAAATATGAACTCAGTCATAGTACTTAAAAATCATTCGATATAGAGGTACCGATGTGAGTAATTTTCCTATGAGCCACAGCTGTTGTTTGCATTGCATTGATATTTGAAGAGCAGTTGAATGAAACATCGAGCAATGTCAAAAGTACAGCAGTTTGTTGAGAGACGTGTGCCTAGTAATCCAAATGGGTGGCCTTCCTTTTTCATATTCTGGCGTTTGAAGTGTTTGCCTTCTACTTCATTACCTTTCTTCTCATTTTGTCAGCCACTTAATTAGCTTAAAAATTGTGCGTCGAGATGATTGAAGTTGTTAGGGTAGTGTCACTTGTCCGGTGAGCAATGTTTCTTTCCTCATTCTTTCATATGTTTTAGGGTGTTTTTTCCCCAGTTGTTTATTCTTGGAAGCTAGAAAAATACTTTAATTCATAAGCAATTGAGAACTAGATCTTATACCTGAAGAGATTATTGTGCCCGTGCTTCCGTCTAAACTAAACTTCTTACTAAGAAACTGATTAGGCATTCCACGATGCAAATATTCTAAGATCCTTGCGTTACAGATACTCTATGATCTTATGAACTTAGTAAAAAAATGACCCAGTTTAATTTTTAGTTTCTAAAGATAATTATAATTCTGATTCTCCAAATTTAATTAAATTTATTTTAGTCTCTTAGAATATATATATATATATATATATATATATATATATATATATATATATAGTTCTAGTCCTAAAATTTAAACATTAAAAATAAGTTTTATAAAATAATTTTTAGTCTGTCAAGTTTAATATTTATATGTTAAAATCATATTTTATAAATTTAAAGGTTTACAATATTTTTTATTTTAAAAGGTAAAATTTAAGAGAATTGAATACATATTTAAACCAAAAAAAGATTTAACATTAACACGCCGTGTTGACTAAGCTATTTCTCAGCAATTATTGATATTATTATTACTTTATCACAAAATAAAAGAATAAGCTCCCCACCCAAGTTGCAGCTGAAAGAAAGATGGATTCTCTGAAAATGTTCAAAGGTTACGGCAAAGTAGAACGAGATCAGCACCGAATCAAAGATCAAGAGCGCAACCCGAAATACAAAATCTCGATCGCCACTACGATTTCCATCTTCGCAATCCTCTTCCTCACTCTAACCTTGATCTTCACCCTCGCATCCATTATTCACCACCAAAACACCGAATCACAGCAGCTTCTCAACTCGGCAGAGTCCATCCGAGTCGTCTGCAACGTCACGCGCTTCCCCGATGCATGCCTCGCCGCCATCCGGCCATCCGTCAACGCCACCGATCCCCAAACCATCCTCGCTCTCTCGCTGCGCGCGTCACTCCACGCTCTCCAGAGCCTCGCTTCCTCACTCAACGCGACGAAGGGACGCGCGTTCGCTGACTGCAAGGACCATCTGGATGATGCGCTGAGTCGACTCAACGACTCGCTGTCGGCCGCGGCAGCGCTGACCGACGCGACGGTGGCTGATGTGCAGACGTGGGTGAGCGCGGCGGTGACGGACCAGCAGACGTGCTTAGACGGACTGGAAGAGGCGGGTGACGTGGTGGGTGTTGAGAAGATGAAGAAAATGATGAAGACATCGGACGAGTATGTGAGTAACAGTTTAGCTATTGTTGCCAATATTCGTAATTTGTTTCGCCACTTCAATATGACGCTCCATTGAACCTTTCAAATCGTAGGGTTTGGAATTTGTGTTTGAATGTTTTTTTTTTTTTTTATTCTTAATTGTATAATACGTGGCTGTGCCAAAAATGTTGTAATATGGAGTTTTAAATTTTAATTAACTTCTTTCCAATTGTTAGAACGTGTGTTGGTGCAAATTTTAGTGAGGACAGGTATTGAAAGTTGATTTGTGTATGCAGGCAATTTAAATGCAATATTAAAATAAATTTATTTGATAATAGTTGAGGTGAAATGATTTTCATTTGAATAAATAGTTTTTTATTTTATTTTATTTTATGTTTCTTGATTTCGTCGTAATATTTTTAAACTAGATTTTTTTTTCCTTTTTTATCATTTTTTTATCACAACCTAAGGTCGGGTTTAATAGGAAATTTCTAGAAATTATTTTTATAAAAATTCAAATATTTTATAATATAATATATTATTTGAATAGAAAATTATGAAAGAAGTTTAACAATTTATTTTTAAAAAATAAGAATTTGAAATTATGCACGTGTAGTTATCATGTGATAAATAGATAAATAAGTTAGTCGTGATAATTTTTATATTTAGACTTTTTTTTATTTTGTATTAATTAAAACACTTTACAATCATCTCATAATATTACGGTAAACACTTTTTTATTATAACCGACTTTATCTCTGGACAGTCTTCATTTTAGCTAGCCGGTTTCGGGTTCTCTGTGAGCTAAGTAGTCACGTTGACCGACAGAAGAGATAAAAAGTTATAATATGTTTTTATTTATTTTTTTGTCACTTTACTTTCCTCCTTTCCTTCCCCCTCTTTGGTTTCAGAGCAGTTTTTGGGTTCATACCCTCAGTTTTCTTGTGCTGTCTCCTCTTGGTATCCGACAATGTTTTTTCCATATTAGGTTTTCCTCGCTCGTCTCCTCTTGGTATCTGACAATGTTTTTTCCATATTAGGTTTTCCTGCTTTCTCTGTACCTTTTATTTTTGGGTATCTGAGTAGTTATCTGTGTTGGCAAAATTTGGGTCATGTATATATATGATACATAATTTAAATGTGTTAGGGTCATTATTTATTAAGTCAAATAATAAAGTGATCTGACTAAATTAAAGTTTTGGCTAAAGGTATATGTCATGAAAATAAAATTGTGTAGAGACCATTGAGCAATTTCTAATTTGATGAGGGGCCAAATTGGAAATACTAAAACTTAAGTAATTAACCTAATTCTGGTTATTTTAAAGGGTCCTGGTCCCCTTCTGGGAGCACACACAGAACGTAAGTATCAATCCCGTTCCTTTCTTTCTATCCCCATCAAGAGAGAAAATCAAGAGGGAAATACAGGTGCTCTTCAGGTGAAAGACCATAAGATCAATATAGTGCTCTACAAAGACATCATCATTATGACTAATTCAGGTACGCTTTCGCATTCAGTTTACAGCATGTTTATCAGTATGAGATTATGTTTATGTTTGATCGTTAGAATCAAAATTAGGATTATTATTATTATTATTATTATTTCCAACAATTGGTATCAGAGCCGCCCATATTTGATTCATGTCTGTTTAATTTATAGAACCCTAATTATGAAAATTAGGATTAATTTTGTTTTAAACAATTCAAATTACCCAATTTTATAAACCCTAAGTGGAGGATAATCTCTAATTTTTGTGAACCCTAAAATTTAAATTTGGGGGTAACATCCTCAATCTGATTCTGCTTGCTGATGGAACCGTGGAGGAAGCTATGGATTCTTCTTCTTCTTCGTTTTTCCCTTTTGTTTCAGTTTAAGTTTCAAGTTTTACTGAGAAAGAAACAATGTTTCAAATTTCAATTTTTTTTTGTATTGGGTTCTCTGTTCTTGTTTTAATCTTTTGTTTTTATTTAATTTTATGAGTTTGGAATTAGGGATGGTGTTTGGGGAATTCCCAACATAGAGGATCTTAGACAACTGGTGAATGTTTCCACATGTGTGGCTGTTATTATTTTATTGTCTCTATCCCCTAGGAATTTAAGGAAAATTTGATGTTAAATTAGGGTTTGAGTGATTACTGTTTAATTCCCTTTTAGGGTTTAGAGCAGTATGCTAAAGAGACTCAGAACTATCTATGTTTCATCCCTAGTGTGATTTTAGAGAGATGTTTATCCTTTATGTATTGGTGAAAAATGAGGTCTTTTTTCATCCTTTGATTTATTCAAATGAGGTGTTCATCCCTAATGAGATTTTAAGGAGGTGTCCATCCTTAGTAGAATTCTAATGAGGTGATTTTCTTTTGAATTAGTTTGCAAATATTAAATATTTGGTTTTGTTATATAAATAAAATATTCAATTTTTGGTAGTTTAATATTTTTTGTGAGCAAATTGAGTCAAGAAGTCACCAAAGTAACTTCTCTTGAATTGGGCAGTTCATGAAAAATATTGAATGTTAGTGTTTGTGTATTTTCATGCGAGTATTAGTCAGCCCAAAGGAAGATTAATATTTGGCCAAATTGCATACACACTTGTAATGATAAACATGTGATAATTATAAGAATTTGCTTTGTCGATGATAAATCAATCCAAAGACTGGTTTGTTGTTGGACGTGCTTTATTGTTAATGTTTGATTATTACAACAAGATACCTCTAGTAGTTAATATTATTGTCCAAAGACTTGATATTGATGGTGCATTGGGTATCTTGAGATGGGTTAAACCACTATTTGAATATATATTATTTATTTTTTATATAATGTGAGCATAATTAGTTTATTTCTCATGTTCTAAATTCAGCTACAATTGCTTCTGTATTCGCCAATTTAAATTCTGTTCCAGATCCTCAATGGAACAAATTTTAAGGACTGGAAAGAGAACATTGATATTGTTCTTGGTTGCATGGATATGGATCTTGCGTTAAGGACTCGAGCAACCCCCTACTCCTACGGATTCAAGTACCTCTGAACGAGAAAAGAGATTATGAGAAGTGGGATCGCTCAAATCGCATGAGTCTAATGATCATTAAGCGCGACATCCGGAGGTGTTTAGGGGCACTGTTTCTGAAAACATCACAAGTGCCAAAGAATTTATTGCTGAAATTGAGCAGCGCTTTGCAAAAAGCGACAAGGCGGAGGCAAGCACTCTTCTTCAGAACTTGATCTCCATGAAATATCAAGGCAAAAGAAATATCAGGGAGTACATTATGAGCATGTCTAATATTGTTTTTAAACTCAAGGCACTAAAGCTTGAAATCTCAGAAGACTTACTCATTCATTTGGTGTTGATTTCTCTTTCTACAACCTTTAATCAATTTAAGGTATCTTACAACTGTCAGAAAGATAAATGGTCTCTTAATGAGCTCATTTCACATTGCGTACAAGAAGAGGAAAGACTAAAGCAAGACAAGACAGAAAGTGCTCATTTTGCAAGCACCTCCAAGGCTAAGGGCAAAAGAAAGAGATCAGAGGATCTCGAGAAAGAAGCTGCTAAGGGTCCAGAACAAAAGAAACAAATTCAAGAAAATAAATGTTTCTTTTGCAATAAGACTGAACACATAAAGAAGAAATGTGATAAATATCATGCTTGGCGTGAAAAGAAAGGGTTGCCTAAACTACTGGAAACCAATTGATTCTGAAAGATGGATTTATGTTGGAGATGGTCAATCGGTAGAGGTGGAAGCTATATGACATTTTAAATTGTTATTGAGTACTGGTTTTTTATTTGGATTTGAAAGACACTTTTGTTGTGCCGTCATTTAGACGAAATTTGGTTTCAGTTTCTTATTTGGACAAATTATGTTATTTGTGTTCATTTGGAAACAATAAGTTCAGTTTGTCTTTTAATTCATATATTGTTGGAACTGCTACGTTCTTTGAGGATATTGAGTTTGGGGGGAAGAATAAGATTAAGAACTTCATCTTGGAGGAAGAATCGGTAACAATTTCAGAACCGATTCAAATAGTTACTTTTGATAAAGTAAGTTCGGAACCTCCACAAGGCATTATTGATGAACTCCTTACTCAAGATGATTTGGTTGTTCATGAAGAACAAACTCAAGATCCTCAAGAACCTGTGCATCATGAGCTAATAACTTTACAGAGATCCACTAGAGAAAGAAGAAATGCTATTTCGGATGATTACATGGTATTTCTTCAGGAACATGAGGAAAATAATGATATAATGGAAGATGATCCAGTTAACTTCCGTCAAGCTATACAAGGTTCTAATTCTCAAAAGTGGATTGAAGCAATAGGATAAGTATAAGTCCATGCAAGACAATAAGGTTATTGGGAGCTTGTCCCATTACCAGAAGGTATGAAACTCATTTGGCTTCAAGATGAATATTGTTGATGATTGTGTGTATCACAAGTTTAAAGGGAGACAAGTTTAGTCTCAATCAGTGCCCAAAGGGGAATTTGGAAATTGAGGAAATGCAAAAGATTCCCTATGCATCAGTTGTAGAGAGTTTGATGTATGCCCAAGTATGTAAGCGTCCAGACATAGCATACATAATTGGGGTTCTAGGCAGATATTTAAGCAATCCAAGAATAGACCATTGAAAAACAACAAAAAGGGTCATAAGATATTTAAAGAGAACAAAAGATTATATGCTCACATATAGGAGGTCAGACCAGTTGGAGATCGCTGGGTTTTCTGACTCAGATTTTGTAGGATGTCAAGAATTTGTAACATGCTATGAGGCATCAAATCATGGAATATGGCTGAGAAATTTTGTCACAGGGCTGCAAATTGTGAAAAGCATTGAAAGACCACTTAAGTTATATTGTGACGATAAATCAGCTGTATTATTAAGGAAAGAGTACAAAGTGGACAAATTTCCATAGAACACTTAAGGACAAACTCCATGATAGCATATCCTCTAACTAAAGGACTTCCGCCTAAGGTCTTTCATGAGCATGTTGCTCACATGAGTGTTTTACAGTTTGAGGAATTTGTGGTTTAGTGGGAGTTAGTCACTTTCATATATTTTATGTTCTATGTTTAATTTCATATATGTATACATTGATTTTTGGACATATTTG